GCAATCATTATCAGTTAGAGCAGCTCACTGTGCTTCCTGGTTCAGGGCCTATCAGGGCCGTCCCTGGGAGCTGCCAGCACTGCGGAGTGTAATGTGTCACAGTGGCCTGGGAGGGAGGAGGGGCCGGGCAGTGGGTGAACATTGAGAACATGGCCACACCTTGTGGGTGACTGCTGGAGGTCCAGGACTTGCTCTCCAGCTGGGTGGAGAGGGGCTGAAGCTAGAGGCTCTCTCACTTTATTTTTGGCCTTCTTGAAAAGTGATTGGGCCTAGCAGTGGTGGCATACACCTTCAGTCCCAGCACAGGGGTTGAGAGGGTGGAGTGGGGGTGGGCAGACACAGGTGGATCTCTGAGTTCAAGGCCAGCCTGGTCTATACTGTGAGTTCCAGGACAGCCAAGGGTACACAAAGAAACCCTGTGTTGAAACAACAACAAAAAGTGATTGGGTTGAGCAGAGCACCATTCCTTGGGGGCATGGCCAGGCAGGAGTAACTGTGCTGTGATCTCTACACTTGGTGAGGAGTGGGTTGGGGGAGAAGGGGGGACCGCCAGCAAAACAAAACAAAACAAAGATCTAATTTCCAGGGAAAGGCACAGCCACCCCTTTTCTCAAATGCCTAACTGGCCTCACTACCCCAAGGCACTTTTCTTCTTTGATCTGGAAGTCTAGAACACAGTTAGGCAATGCTGTTCAGCTGGGTCAGTCCAAGGAGGCCCCAAGGACTGCTCATTTTCTGTCCTGCAAAAGGGACAGATGGTAGCAGGGAGACGCCACACTTAAGGTAGCGGGGGAGGGAAGAGCAGTTACAGAGGCCTCCAGAATTAAGGTTTTAGGTAGAGGACCATCCAAGGAGGCGAGAAATACCTGAAGACCCCAATTGTCAGTTGGCATAGGCGGCTCAGGGGTCCCAGGAGGCTGGAGCCTTTCAGAATTCTGGAATGTGTTTTCCATGCAAATAAGAGCTGGTTTGTAGAAATGGCGCTGGAACATGTCCAAGCACTTCCTGTCTGTCCTTTGAGTCATTTGGAAATGGTTAACAAACAGGTTGGACACCTGGCCTCAGATGGAGAAGGGAATTTCCCCGTAAACCCTGCACTGTAAAATTCTCTTCCTTCCCGAAGCAATTGAGATCAGGACAGAAGTGTAGTCTCAATAGACTCCTTCGTCCTAAACCAGCTCAAGGCAAAGTTAGAGCAACTGCTACAGACTCAAGGAATCAACTCTGTGCACGTGAAAAACGCTACTTTGAGAGGGCGTGATGTCCAACTGTTTCAAGGGTGACTAGCTGGTAGATCTGGATAACACACACTCAAAAGTCGCATTTCTGTTCCCAGATCTAGCCAGTCACTTGCAACTGACACATTCTCACTGGATTTGGGTCAGTCTCCTGATGGGAGAGTTTAAATTCAGATCTGAAGTGACTCCTGGTGGAGAGCAAGGCCATCTAAAACAACCTCCCTTTTAATTTAGTATTAACACCCACACAGAAATCTGTGAGGCTCTTGAGGGTCAAAGAGCAAGAACAGTTGGCACCGGCCTATCACAGCACCATGCAATTCTAAAGGCCTGAATAAGCAGCTCTGTATCACAGGCTTTTGTAAGATCTCTTCCCAGAACAGGTTAAATATGCAAAATGCATATTGGTAGGTTATTTGCTGCAATTCAAGGCCTCACCTCCAAGGCAAACATATTACCTCAGGCGAACTCTAGGCCCTGCAGGAAAGGGACTGAAACCCAAGCCCCGGCTAACCAAGCACGGAAGATCTCTACAATTGTTGGACTAGAAGGTAGACTAGATGTCCTCTTTTGTGTTGTCCAGAATAAAGGCAGGGACAGCTTCAGGTGCAGTAGTTCTGTTTAGCGTATCGTTTGCCATAAAACATGGCAGAATGCCAGAGGAGGTTGGCTGGTATGAGAGAGGATACTGGCTTTAAGAAGTGTCCCTAAGTTCTTACTAGGTTAATTCTTAGTTGTACATTAAAGGTAACAAGTCAAGCCTGGTGCTGTGTTAGCTGTCTGTCTATACCAGTGTCCTCCTGTGCTATAATACCACCAGCGTATGTACATAAAACCAAGTAATTTATGAAGAACATAACTAGCTCTTTCTTTTTTTGTCTATTAAAAAATATCAGGTGCCGCTTTTAATCCCAGAACTCAGGATGCCAGCCTGATCTACAGAGTTACAGGACAGCCAGGTGAACACAGAGAAGCCCTGTCTTGAAACAAACAAAGCAAAAAGATCTGGCATGCTATCAAATGTTTTTTAAAAAAGTGGTTTTAAGCACATTCACCTAGTAACCTATATTAGATATCCGGATTCAGTTTACTCTAAGGTTCTTTTTACACTCACTTAATGTGTCTGTGTGTGTGCTTGGCAGTGCTAGGTTTTAACTTAGAGCAGCTGCACAGGTTTCTGATGGAGTGACTACATTATGACCTTTCTGCATGTGTATAAGATAATCTTTGATAATTTAAAAACTGAAGACAAGGCCTGGAAAGATGGCTCAATAGTTAAGAGCATACACTGCTCGTGTAGAGGCCCAGAGTTCAGTTCCTAACACTCACATTCAATGTTCCATCATCACCTGTGATTCCAGGTCCAAGGCATGCAATGCCATCTCTCTTCTGATACAGTAATTAAAAATAGTGAAATCTTATTGATAAGTTAAGGCTGGGTGTGGACTAAAGGCAACACACCTTTACTCCCAGCGCTGACAGGCTAAGGAAAGGGGGACGTCTGAGTTTGAGGCTAGCCTGCTCTATATGGGGAGTTCTAGGACAGTCAGGACGACACAGAGAAACCGTCTCAAAACAGACAAGCAAAAGAATAAACAAAAACTGGAGCTATAGGGACATTTACTGCAGGCAACTTATTTAGCTAAATGCAGTACTTGTATTTGGTGGGGACAGTTGAATGACTAGTGAACAGGGTTCAATTACTGTCTCATGCTGTACCACCACAGGGCATGCTGGGTACACAGGCTGAGATTGGGAGCACTCACTACAGGATGTACTTCCACACCTAGTATACATAAAATGCCGTTTGCATTCTTAACTTTTTCTACATTGTTAGCAGCTTGCAGGACCGGGCAGTGGTTCTCAACCTTCTTAATGCTGCAACTTTTAATATAGTTCCTCATGTAGTGGTTACCTCCAAACACAAAATTATTTTTGTTGCTATTTCATAACTGTAATTTTGCTTCTGTTATGAATTATAATGTAAATATTTTTGGAGATAAAGGTTTGTCAAAGGGATCATGACCCATAGGTTGAGAACCACTGGACTAGGTGCCCACTATCCAAATAAATGAAAACTTCCTTCAGAGCTTCACAATCCCGATTATGCAGACATGCGGGTGCCAGAAAGCCATGGAAGCCAGGGCTGACTACCATTCTCACAGTAGGGCTTGAGGGTATAAATTGCTAGTGGGTCATTTAGCTGGGATGCGGTGAGGAACAAAATGAGACTTCCGTAAAGATGGAGTTGGAATGTCCAAGCTCCCTTGAGTTTCAGGAATATCAAATCATTGCACCTGCAAGTTTTCTGGGCTTCTACTGGCTGGAATCAGGTAGTAGTATCTTTGGAGGCATGTAGCTATATCTATGTTAGTGGTTAATGGAACCCACTGGACAGGAGGGTTATCACACAGTTATAGCTGGGATCCAGGGAAAATGAACAGGGTTCATTTGAGATTTGATGAATTTCCTAGGCTTTTATCTTAAAAAAAAAAAAAAAGTTTTTCTCTCTAATATCCTTAATATCCTACCCTGAATCAAATTTATAAATACATCACAGATTTAATATAATTCATACTTAGCCCCTTCTTTTTTTCAAGTAAACACAAAATAAAATAGGTGAAGGAAGGAGATGAAACAAACAAGAACCTAGCAAGGGAATTCTGGTGTTGGCTATCTGAGACTATATAAATTATATTGGTCTAAGTCTAGCACTTGTGAGTCTGGTCCATACATTGGTACATTATCACAAACAAACAAACAAATGCATAATTCATCTGTTAATTTGGGTACTGCTTTTCAAGTATAGCCAGGTAAGAAATTGTTAGTCCCTGAAAAGAAAAAAACAAAATAAAACAAACAAACAAAAAAAAAAAAATAAAAACAAAACAAAAATAAGAACCAACCAGCCAAAAAACAAAACAAAGTTAAATAACAACCTTTCCAAAATCCATGAGGCAAGGTAACTTTTAATTTTATTTATTTAGCTATGATTATCACAACTCCAATCTCCTAGGAAGTCTCTTCTCGATACTGCTGCAGTACCAGGCATAAAGGTTCAAGTGTCATCAGATGTAAGGACTGAAACCAAGATGCTGGGTTATGTTTGAATGAAAACATTTGATATGGATGGTCAGATGAAAGATACCAAAATGTCAGACAGCCCATCGACTGCTGTTGCCATGAGATTCAACAGTCAACATCAGTCTGATAAGCTACCCGACAAGGTGGTACAACCATGCAGATGTCACGACGGTTGGCAAGCAAGAGGTGCCCAGGCAGGATTTAAAGCAAAGCAAGCATCTCTGGCCTGCTGAGGCTTAATGCCAATTCTAGGAAAGAAAGTTGTTTATTCTCCTATCAAGCGAAACAAAATGAACAGGGTCAATCAGGAAAATGTCAAAGGAAAACCACATTAAGAATAAAACACAGAAACACACAGAAATAAACTTCCATCTGTTAAAGTCAGATACAAACAGCTAAGACTAACATGAACATAAAAAAGTGTTTTTTGCCACTGTCCTTTGATTTATACATCACTACTTTTTTTTTTTTTTTAAAAATTAATTAAGAGATTCCTATGCCAGGTGAACCTCTCTCTCCGGGTCCAGCATAACAAGATACCTTGGCGGTGGCTCTTTGAGACAATAAATTACAGCTTAGGTTGTAAGTATATCTTGTAAGTATATTTGGCAGGACTGCCACTCACTGGGTAGAGGTGAAAAAGAAGAAAGCCCATACCATTAAGAAAACAGACACAGCTTCAGAATGATCAAAGATGTCTTTATAAAGTTTTTCACGACTTCATTCTAAATATACAGAATAAAAAATGGTGTGCTCATTTGTGAGACACCAACCAGATTTTCTTTATACTGTCTCAAAATTTAAAGATCAATTTCCCCAGAGGGTGTGCAATGCATCATAAAATGGCCTTTTTGAGGGTGGGAAAGGAAGGCATATTAAATTGTTCCATGATAGACATGCAAGACTGCTATCCAATATATAGTAACTTATATACATTTGATGACTTAGAAAAAACAATCATTTGTGACAAGCCTAAGAAGCCTGCCATATTTAACATACTTTAGAACATTTTGTGTGGCAGGGGTTCTCCAATTGTACCACGTGGGCCCTTTGAAAGTAGCAGAAGGCCAATCTTTGTTGAGTCTGCAGCAGGGTATCATATCCACCCTAACAAAATACATGTGGATTGAACGGAGGGTGAAGACCTTACCTTAACACATAAAGGAAAAGTATGCCAGTGTAAAATATGGACTAAACTGCTTCAGGAAGAATGTTTTAAAAATCAATACAGGATGGAAAAGGGAATCTTCCTTCCTTGTTAGAGCCCTCCCATTGTGAAGCAGGACCCCTCCATGCTAACTTCTGCAGATAAAAAGCTTTCTCTGCTTATTTAGTTTTCTCCTCTGAGTTCAAGCGCTGCTGGATTCGTTTGGCATAACTTTGTGCCATGGAGTTAATGATAGACAGGATAAAGTAACACACCATTACAACGACCAGCTTCTCAAACATCCAGGACAACCAGTTTTCTCCCTGCAGAAAAGAAGGCAGAACAATTCAAGAAAAAGGCTTTCCTCTGTTCAACAATGCATCAAAGGAAATGATGAGACCTGAGGCTTGCCTAGACAACCCAAACAATTAAGAAGCCTGTCTCTAGGTACCCTGAAATTTACACTTAGCTACCGGAGTTCACAATGCTTGTGAACAAGCAAAGTTGATGCTAGCTTAAATAGTTTAGGGAGGGATGGAGGTGGGCTGCTCTCTTATACTAGGAATAGTGGTCTACCCTCTACAGCTGCCTTGCAGATCTTTGTTTCAGTGTTGGAGCTGCTTTTAGGACATAAATGTGAGCTATGTTTGGACAACTGATGGCAGCAAAGGGTTACATGAAGAGTCCAAAGCCAATGAAAAACAACTGCTTTCCTCCAGGCTTCTTGGTTCAGGCTGCTGCTCACTCATCCCTGCTGGTTTTTTACTCTGCCTCATAACTCCTGACAGAATGCATTGCCAGGCTGTTTATTCAAGTTCAGCTGTGGTGGGAGCCTTGCTTTATTTAAAAAAGACAAAAAGAAGGAAGCAAACAGCGACTTTCCCACAGCAGAAATGAAAAAGCATATTCATGTCCCCGTTACCTAACTTTTAACCTAGTCTGGAAGTGTCTGTAATAACTCATTCAAGATCAAGACAACACTGCACACAGCAGAAACACTGTCTTCCATTCCCCCATCCTTGTTTCTGAAAACACCCGACAGACACAAGACCCATTTCCCAGTAAAGAATACACAGCCTCAACTTCTGCCAAGAGACTGGTAAACAACCCCACACAGTCCATCCAGAAATCGGGAGAGAAGCGAATGTCACTGGAGGCTGAAGCTGGAGGGAGGGTCCTCACCTGTGGGGAGCCCACTTTGCTGTGGTGGTGGAGCTTCTGCCGTTGGGCCTCCAGGTACTCCTGAAAAGGCTTCTGTAGAGACGGACCTATGCCGGGGACAGCACTGGAAGGAGGTACCAAAGCAAAGACAGACACATTTGGGAAGAAAAGCAAGAGAAATGTTAATCTACTTACCCCTCAGACTTAAAAAAAAAAAAAAAAAAGGCAGGGACTGTATAAAAAGAACAAAACACAAAATCAGAGCTGAGCAACCCTGTGAAACTTGTTTAGTGGATAAAAATTCCTCCTCCAAGCAACTGGAAGAAACTGGAAATGTGAGCCCAGTGCCACGGCTATCACAGGAGAGTGAGGCCAGCGCAGCAGACACTGCACACTGGTGTGGCACAAAGAATAAAATGAATGACTTCTGAGAAGTCCCACATTTATCACCACTAGTTCCTGTAAGAACTGGTTTAAACCGATTAATAAGGAAATGACTTATGCTTGTGTCATCTCTAGTTAAAAAAGAAACTGCCCTCCCTCTCTCTGACTGTCCCATCTTCTCAGGGGGGGCTATGTGTGGGGGTGGGAGGTGCTTTCTCAATCTAAGTCCTTATTAGGACAATCCCTGCGTCATCCTTATCCAAAAAGAATGCATTAGCACATTCGGGAGGCACCTCCCCCTCCCCAGAAGTCAGTGATTAACAAAGGAACAAAGAAGGAACTCCGGACCTTGAATCATTTCATGGCTTATGATGGATGTTTGCACAGAAACTCCTGAACATTACTAAACAGCCTGTTCCAAGGTGTCTGGATAGCACTCTCTGATAAGGCTCTGGACCAAGCAAGCTCTCCAGTTTGTGGAGCCAAGGTTGTAAAACCGGTCTGGCAAGTGAAGCTACCGGGCTCCCAGGTTTCTTTTTCCTTTTGATAGCTAACAGGCTTTTAAAAATGGTACTGTGGGGCAGCTCTGTAAAATAAACATCCTTATTTCCTGTACCCTTTCTTTTCCCACCTGTCTTATTTGCTAACAGGCAAACAAGCCTATACTTTTCCTAGGGCCAGAGAACCTATGGAAGGTGCATGTGTGCAGTGCCCAGAGCTACTGCAAAGTGTGCTGACTCCAGTGAACAATTAAGTTGCTGCTTACAAAAGCAGAAGAATAAGACTAGTCTTTTGCTATTACATTTGCCAGACAGTAACAACTGCCAAACTGCTGCCCAGTTTCCTCTTCTTTCATCCTTTACTTATCAATCACTCAACATTTAAAGGAGTCCTTGCTTTGTGTCCATGCTATAGAAAAGAGAAAAACAAAACAAACACCTTGAAACAAAGTGCACCTCTTCATAGGTGAGTTCACTCAGCCTTACCACCAGCACTCAAACTGCCAAGGGCCGCAATTATTAACAAAGTGGAAGACAGGATTTTAAATCTCTTCTTGCAGGCAGTGAGAAACAGCAGCCATTCCAGAATCCCCTCATAACAGTTTGAAGAAGCCAACAGTTGCTACCACTCTAAGGTCAGCTGACTGCAGATTTTATAAGGAGTTGTTTTGGTACTAATGGTAAAATAAGTTTATGGAGGTGCTCGGTATAGTATGCTCTGGAGAGCTGTGGTAGTGGTGTGGAGGGATTTGTCCTGCAAATTCCCACTGAAGATGAGGAAAGAGGTGAGGACAGATGATAAGAGTTTTTTATTTTTGTCTGCACTCATGAGGCAGAGGCAGAGGCAGAGGCAGGTGGTTCTCTGAGTCTGAGGCCAACCTGGACTAAAGAGCTAGTTCCAGGACGGCCCAGGCTGTTACACAGAGAAACCCTGTCTCAAAAAGCCAAAATCAAAAAAGTTAAAAAGTTTTATATAAAAATATTTTAGATATAATAACTAAACTACTATGAGCAAATAAGTGATCTGAATAAAATCTAAATCATAACACATTTGAAATGTAGGTAGAGTTTTAAAGCCAACTATTTAATGTAGCCTATTAACAGCTTCCTCTCTTTGGAGACAGCATCTTCAGTACTTCAGGCTGGCTTTGAACTGAGTAGGTATTCTAAGTCCCTGCCTCCACCTTCCGGGTGCAGGAACTACTCGTGTATGTTACTTTATCTTTTTTTGAGACAGGGTCTTACTAAGTGTCCCACGCTGACATCAAATTCACTACCCTCCTACCTTTCTACCTTCTGAGTGATGGGATTACAGACATGTACCACCATGTCTGACACAGAGCATTCTTTAAAACCTTTACTTATCCATTGTGTGTATGTGTGCATATTATATGTAGGTCAGAGGATAATGGTTGTTTAGACTTATTTATTTATTGTAAATGAGTGTTTTACCTGCATGCATGTGTGTGAGGTGCTCAAGAAATGCCGAAGAGGTTGTAGGATCCCCTGGGACTGGGGATGCAGACGATTCTGAGTCACCATACAGGTGTTGGGGACTGAACCCTCTGCATGTCCAACAGGGCTCCTAAGCACTGAACAATCTCACCAGCCTTTCCCCCTTCCTTTGTTAAAAAAGGCTGCACCAAGAGCTCCAGATGGCCTGAAGCTCACAGAACCCTTGCCTGTTGCTTTCTGAGTGCTAGGATAAACAGGCTTGCACCCCCATGTGCACCTCGCTGTTCTTTCCTCCTCCCGTGTGGGTCTTATCAGTCTAAACTTAGGTTGTTAGGCATCTCACAGGACCCCACAAAGTGTTCCTGCAATAGAGTTTTTGAAAGGGAAAAAAAAAAAAAAAAAGAACTACTGCAACAAGTGCTTTTAGCCACGGACCCCCAACCCCCCTTTCCTTCAGGCAGGGACTCAAGCAGCTCAGGCTGGGCTAGAACTTGTTATATGACCTAGAATGCCAAGAACTCATGACCCTCCTGCCTCTGCCTCCAGAGTGCTGGGATTATAGGCCTGCACCACCACACCCAGCTCATTCAGGGCTAGGGTTGAATCCATAGCTTCATGTTGTTAGAAAAAACAACCCACCAACTGGGCTATATCCTCAGTCACAGCTGCCACTCTTAACACACATTTCAGACAAACTATAACAGCTCATAAATTCATTCCTCAGGTTATGTGTGAGCAGGTGACCAGAAGCAAGAGTCTGTCCTGACACACTAGGAACAGTGTTCTTGCAGGAATGCACGCCTGCATGAGTGTGTCTGGGCTCATGTAAGAGCTCAGTGTCCATTTACAGCTGTCATGCTGAGAGCCCTCTTACACACACAGCTTACGACTCTTGTGAAGTCCTACACCTGCTATTAGGTACTGAATAAATCCAAAGAACTAGTTTTGTGATACAGAGGAGAACAAATAGTACTTAACTATCTTGTAGTACCACTTATTAGATTAAAATGTGCTTAAATTAGCTTCATAAATAGCTATTTGTTCTCATAAGAAATCATTAAAAGAAGGAAGGTGATGTCATTTACTTTTTTTTTTTTTTTTTTTTTTTTTTTTTTAACAATAGGGAGGAAAAATTCTGTGGATGACTTGGGAGGCAGAGACAGAGGGATCTATGAGTTGGAGGCCAGCCTGGTCTACAAAATGAGTTCCAGGGCAGAGAAACCCTAAACCCTGTCCTGAAAATAAATACCCACCCCAAACAAATAATTTTTTTTTTTTTTTTGGTGGGTGGTGGGTAGTACTTCATATTTTGGGTAGTGGGTAGTACTTCATATTTTGTTTCTTGATACTGACTTTTAGAAGGGGGGGGAGAGGAAAAAACAAAACTAAGCAACAAAAAATAATCATAAACTCTTAAAAGAAAATCCCTAAGAAACTCTAAAGCTCAGAACTCAAACTTGATTTAATGTGTTTGACTGTGTCCCATGATTTTGTACCTAAGTATATGTTAGTACAGACAGAAGACAAACTTCTTGGCAAACAGTTAATTATCGTTTTAAAGAAAAGAAAGAAAAACAAAACAAGAAAGAAAAAAACAAAGACCAAGCTGTATGTGGTGGCTCGCACCTATAATTGCAGTACCTAAGACGAGGACAGAAGACATGCTGAGAGTTTGAGGTCGCAATGGGGCGCAGCACGGACAACAGTGTAAGACCCTATCTCAAAACAAAACAGACAAACAAAAAGCAACCAACTAAGTCAACAAATACCCTCAAAATAACATCTGAGGGAAATAAGAGCCCTGACCAGTTTGTAATCAATCAATCAATCAATCTCTCTCATCTCTCTCTCCTCTTTCTCCCTCCCTCCCTCCGCCAGTCCTGGAACTAGCTCTGTAGACCAGAACTCACAGAGATCCACCTGCCTCTGTCTCCTTAGTGCTGGGACTAAAATCATGTGCTACCAATGCCCTCCCGTTAAACTCTCTTATTTTTAAAATAGCTTTGGAACACATTTAACTCTGTAGAAATTATGTACCTAACAGGAATGTGTGTTCTAAACTCTCCTCATAAAGGCTGGTGTTATTTTCTGTTCTCAGATATGCTGGGAGTGGGCCTGAGGAAGCCCCAGAGTTGGTGGAGATTAGTCCACAAGGCACATATTTCCCTTTGTTCCTTTATCTGTTCCAAGTACACTAGAATCCATCAGTTATTATTATTATTCCTACTTCTCACAGGAATTTTTTCAAACTGTGTCGTCTCACATCTAATTAACTTTCAGGTACTTCTCCCTCATGGAGATAAGAACCAAACTAGATTTTGCTATGCAATATTGAACTTTTCCTTATACTCACCATGATTCTGTTTGGACTTCCCTGGCCAGATGTGTTTTTGCTAATGGATTGTTACAACACTGGGGCACTGTACTTACCAGAAACATTAGCTGAAAAAAATACACTGTTTTGCTAAAAATGGGAAAACTGAGGCAGGAGTATAGCAAGTTCTAAATCAGGCTGGCATATACAGTGAAACCTTCTCTAAAAGACAATTAAGGCCAAAAAGATACTCAGTGGGTAAGGTACTTCTCCACAAGCCTAACAACCCATGAAAGAAAACTGACTTCTAGAAATTGTCTTACACACACACACACACACACACACACACACACACACCCCAAATTCAAACAACAAAGCTGGGCATGGTGGCATATACCTTTAATCTCAGCCTACTCTGCATAGTATGCTCCAGGTCAGCTAGAGCTACAGAGACCCCTGTCTGTCTCAACT